TTTCCTAATATCCAACCTATATTTCCCTCAACACAGCTTGAGACTGTGTCCTCTGGTTTTGTCAGTTGTTTCCTAGAGAAAGAGACCAACCCCACCTGACTACAGTCACCTTTCAGGAAGTTTAGAGAGTGATAAGGTCACCTCTGAGTTTCCTTTTCTTCAGGCTAAACGCTCCCAGCTCCCTCAGCCAGCCTTGTTGCCCTCCTCTGGATGCACTCAAGCATCTCAACTTCTTTCCCAAACTGAGGGCCCAGAACTGGACACAGCACTCAAGGTGCAGCATCACCAGTGCCGAGTACAGGGGAAGAATGATCTCCCTGCTCCTACTTGCCACACTATTCCTGATACAGGAATACTAGGTGGTTACTCTACATTGTCAGTGGATTATCTGTCCCTGCCTCCACCTCTTGTGGCTTGAGCTCGTTGGGAGTTACACACTCAGCTGAGATGGCATCCTGACACATGTTCATTTTCCTGAGCACAGAAACACAGCTTCCCTACCCTTTATGAAGGTTGCTTAGGAAGGTCAACCAGCTCTTTTAAGCTCCTCTGCCTTTCAGGGCAGTATCCCCTGGGGCTCTGAGGCTTCTTTCAGGCACCCAGTTTTGCTCAGTTGCTGTACTTGATCAAATCCAGCAGCAATGTGGAAGTCCATACCCAGTCTGGGTGACTGTAACCAGGCTGGATGGAAACCACTGTTGACATTTACTTGGAATTTCTCTGAAAAAAAACCATTAAGTTACAAAGGCCTGTCTTTGGCCATGCCGAGACAGGAAAAGCAATTCAAGCTGTAGCAGGAAACATGGAAGGGGCACTCCAGAAATCCATAACAAGTATCCAGTGAAGCCAGAAAAGCATTTTCTAAGATTCTCCATCTTCGTCTTGATGCAAAATCCCCAAATAAATATTTCCCAAACTAGTTTGACATCCACTTGCCATTAATGAGTGTGATGAGTTCCTGTCTGCAGCAGAAAGACTTGCAATCTGCACATTATGGTACACAGTGTGATGAGCAATATTAAGTGCACCCTTCTGTATGGTGCAGTCAACTTGATAAAAATAGAACCAGACCAAAGCCTAAGGAAGGATTTCTTATTCTCCTACCATCAGATGAAACTCTTCAGACCCATAATTTAAATGTTTTTCTCATTGTAGGGGTGCTAAAAAATGTGTCAGAAGACTTCAGCTAGTTAGTCTGCAATTTAGCTTGAAAAGTTTGTTTCTTCCCATTCTTCCTAGTATTTGAATAAAGAGATGCGGGAAAACGCCTGCTTGCCATGGTAGGTACATGAGCTATAATTTGCAATGAAATATCATGGACTGTGCCATACTACAGAAGCTTTAATTAGAGTAATTAAAACACATTGTAACTTACCAGTGATTTTGCATTCAGTATATTTTAAACAGCTGAGCCCTGAAAAAAATGCAGTGATTTGCTCACTACCACACATCAATGGGTTTCTGCAGCTGTGGAATCACACTCAAATTGAGCTTGCACAGGCAGCCAAATTATTCTTTAGGAGCTGGAGAAAATCGGAGAATGATATTCCTAGAGACAGACCATTAAAGAAAAATTAACTATTAGATCTCCTATGTGATTTTTGGCTCTTTGTACACAGATGGCAGACTTCAAGGATCTTCTATGCTTCATATATATATATATATATATATATGAAGGTTTCCCTCCAGTTAGCAAAAGCAAAGAAATATGCTCCAAGAAAATATGCTGTTAAGAGTACTGTGAGCACGGACTCAGAGTAGAAAGGAAAAGATACCAGGTATTACTGGCTGGCAGTTTCAATCCAGCTGCTTCTTAAAGGATAATCCCACAAAAGTGTAATTAAGAAATGAATATGCTTTTGAGTGAAGGAATGAGGGCTAGGAATTTTTTTCCTAACTGTTTCTTGGCAATTACATTAGCTTTGTATACATCCCCTGTGTATTTCATTGTGTAGGCCTTTACCACTTCTAGAAGCTAAAAAATACGTAAAAATTCTGTCCTTCCTTGCAGAGATGCTTACATCAAGACCAGCTATAGGTAGGAGACATCTAATTTGATTACACTTTTACACATCCTGCACAAGTGCTTGGTGGGAAAATACGTGGGAGATTCAGCATCAACATCCCCATCCCTGCAACGTGCTCCGTAGGGCACACTGCAATGGCTGATTCATGCTGTGCACCTGGTGCAGCCCAAAGTCCAGGTTTGTGCCCAAAAACACATGTTCTGCACACAGAAATCCCTGAGCTTAGGCCACCAAGCCTATGTCCTGCCCTGTGTCTGCTGGTGGAGAAGCAATCCAGCCTATCCCCAGTACAATGCAGTACTGTGACTGGTGAGTTCCAGCAAACTGCCCATGTGCCATTAGGCCATTGTTAGCACTGAGATGAGTAGTTGGGAATCACCTAAGGAAAAATACTGATATCATCCTAGCCAGAACCCATCAGAGGCTGATTTGGACAGAAAAATGCCAGCTCAGGCACCAGATGAGTAAAAACCTTGAGATTTCCTTTGAGGAGGAACCAGTGTGTAAACAGAAGATTTTCACACTTCAAAATTTAGTAAGGTTAACATCCCGGAGATTAAATGTACACCACAGCATCTGTAAATGGTAGAGAAAGGTATAAAATCTTTAAAGGTCATGCAATCTCCACACAAAAGGAAGTGATTCCTATCAAAACAGTCTCTCCAGGCAAGGATTGTTCTGATATTTTCAAGACAGAACAACAAAACAGTTAATAATTATAGTTTTCTGGAGGACACCTGCATAGTTAATTTAAACTAAACCACAGAGAAATAGAAGCACTTTATTCCAATACTGTTCCTTTTTTTAAAACTACCTTTCTGAAAATGTAATTGAGTCAGCTTCAGCTGTTCAAGTGGCAGCATTCACAACAGAGAAAGGATGAGTCTTCAATGAGTGATTAAAATCTGAAGCAATCCATTTAGATAACCATAAAAATATCTTATTGCAGGTTTAGTCCAAAATGAAGTTTGACTATTATTTTTTTATTGACTTTGTAGACAAATGAGTATTTAGAGCAAGCAAAAATTCATATCTGCCTCTCGTCACAGCCCTGCTAATTGGTTGTCATAGGACAAAAAAAGAAGAACAAAATAAAAATAACAATTCATACAAGCCTTTTGAATATGTTTTTTCTTTCTTGGGAGCATTTGAAAATTGCTGGCTATTTCTGATACAGAAATTTGTCACAGGACATCACTGCCTCTCACTGCCCACCAGGCTGTCCTTTCTTGCCCCTTGAAACAGTGAGTGCCTTCTACTCATGCAGCAGGCACCAAATTTCATTAGTGTGCTTCTACAGGAGACCATTTAGCAGGGCTGTGATGAGAGGCAGATATGAACTTTTGTTTGCTCCAAATTCTCATTTGTCTACAAAGTCAATAAAAACAATAATAGTCAAACTTCACAAAGCAATAACACTAAAGAAAATGCCTATCTGAATAACCCTGGATAGCACTCACAAGAAGTGATGCTTCTCACTTGCACAATGAACCATTCCAGCTACATCTCCTCATATATGGCCCCAGGGTGCTGAAGGTCCCCCACTCTGCCCCAAGAGGAACCAGGGGAGGATGCTCTGGCTTAGGACAGTGGTAGGGATAAGGTCATGCCAGCCACACTCCAAACAGCAGGAGCTTCATCTCAGGTCCAGCAATGAGGGTCCAGTGTTCCCTTGCATGAGGAACTACTCCCATAAAATTTCCTTCACCATGGAGGGTTTATACCACCAGTCCCTGGGCTGAATATTACATGGGTCATCCAGTCTTTATCTGGTCTCTGGCAAGGAGTAGGGTGCTGTGGGATGCAGCAGGCTCCTCCACAACCACAGGGAAAGCCAGTGGAGGGATCAGGACGACAAGAAAACAACCCAGCTCTGACCTCCATAAATCACCTGGGTCCACAAATACAGATAAATTCTGTCAGTAACTGGACTTCCTTAGGAAAAGAAAATAGCCTCATTTTCTGGATATTGTGTAAGAAGATTTCAGGATTTTCCTGTTTTACTGGTCATTCCATCTTTCAGTTGACCCATAGCTAACCTTGAATGACATATTTTTTCACAAAATACTTGTCAGCACTGCGTAAAGACATCAGTTATTGTGATCCAATGACATGCAATGTAGTATTTTATGATTAAAAAAATGCAGAGGCCCTAACATACTCAGGAGAGAGTTATCAATCGAGATTTTAGAACAGGACTCAGTAGAGTCTGCAATGTAATCTGCATTCTCCCTTTGAAGCATGATTTGAGGAAAGTATGTTTGGTAGTACCAGCAAGTTGTGTAACAGCTGCTTCAGCTTTCTTGCCTTCCCAAAGGTCAGACTATTCTTTTAAGAATTTTTTATTGAAACACTCACAGCTCATCTAATTATATTGCTTGCTTAGGGGCACATATTGAATAGTAGTCAATTTATTAATTTAAAAATGCTGGAAATGTCTCAGCTCAAGTAAGTTCGATCCTTTCCTTTAAAAGCAACATACTAAAGTAGCCACATTGCCTACAAAGCTTTAGCACACACACCTTAACTTAACTACATCTCTAAATGCCACCAAGAGTGTATTCTGAGCCAATTTCAAAGCCCATGCAGAGCAATGACAAAGATGGAAGACAGCACCGTAAAGGAGAAGCTTTTTACAAGTAGGTCACAACCAGCCCTAGTCATTTATTCACTAACAATTACCTGAAAGTGTCCAAGAACATCAGGTATTTTGTGTAAGAAAATAGGTCAAAGCAGTAAATCTATTGAGGAAATATTGGGTATTTCTGCTGTATCAATGTTTGCTCTGCTGCCTTCCCAATTCTATCTGATAAGCAGTAACTTGTAGCAAGTATCTCAGCTTCAGCTTAAAGCACTTTATTCATCACAGGTGCAGATGAGTCACACTCATGAGAAAGCCTCAGTCATGTGAATTGGATTTGGTATAAAACCCCATCCCAGTGCTCTCTCCCTTCTATCTATAGGTAGTGAAAGTTTTAGTTAAAAGATTTATGTCTGGTGTCATAATTGTTGCTGACCAAAGCACTTTGAGGGACTTCCATGTAAGCTGATGGTATTGTTTTGAGCAGGTAGGTAAATTAATGGATGGTTAAATTTTACTTCATAACTGTTTTCATGGTTATAGTGTTGCAGTTTGAAGAGGTGTATTTGGTTAAGCAAATGTGCTGTGAGCAGAGAAATGGCAAGTTAGACCTTCTGCTGATGTTCTTGAAAATAGTTAAGGGTAATAGGATTTTGTGGGTTGGGAGAGAGGAGAGGGGGTGGTGTGGTCTGAGCTACTTTGATATTAGTGAGGGCAAAAATGCAGCCATTATAGGCAGAAAAATCTAATTGCTCAGCATGTTTGCTTTGTGGCTTTTTATTATGGTTCTGTACTGTACCTTATGACCCTGTTTTTACTTCTAAGGGGATCTCCCTTTGAAATGAGTTCCTTGAGGTATAAAATTATTGTAGTGCTGTCCATTAGTGCTGGCTTATGTAGCAGGAGGCAGCAGTCTGCCATGAATTTGAGTTATGAATTGTTTATACAGATCCTATTTTAAATCTCTGTTCTCAGATTTTTTTTTTGGCTGTGTCTATTTGTGATGCTAAAGTGATTGGAAAACTAAAGAAGAGCAAATTGAGTGATTCTGGTATTGCCCTTAATAGGCCTTCAAAGACAAGCAGCTTGAATAATAACCTAAATCCATGGTAGTTACCAAGTGTCTATAGGCCTAATCAGCTGCCACCATTGGGAATAGTTACTGACAAAAGTGTCCCACTTCTTTGTAACTTGTGTATATTATTTTTGTTTATGCATTGGTGTTTGCTGTCAAGATGCTCTGCAGAGAAACAGGACAGTAAAGTTTCTCTCAGCTTTAACATTGTCCTTTGGGTCTGGCATGTGATTTTGATAACAGCTTGGATAGGAACCTGGTGTTTATTGGAACAATGCCGGGTCAATAGCTTTGAAGTGTAAATCTTCTGTTTTGTTTGCCCAAGAAGTTCAGATGAGCCCTGGTAATGCAGGTCTACCTTGCCCTGGGAGTGCTTAGTAGTGTGCCTGAGGGATGGTAGCCTGAGCTGAGAGCATTCCATCACCTACTGGAGGGATGTTTGGTGGCTCTACACAACATTGCTGAGGGGCTGGGGAGCTCTGCTTGGGTGAGATGCAGTGAAAAGGGGTGGTCACTTTGCCCTTGTCCCCTGCTGGCTGACTGCTCTGTCTTGCTGCCCCAGTGCCTCTCTGTGGCTTGTGCTCCTTTTCACCTATGGAGCAACTGTCTTAAATCCAATTTGCCTCTCTTCCACTTAGCTATGCAGCAAGTCTGCTGTGACTTTCTTCAGGCTTTCTAACTGCTTTAATAAAAGCATGGCTTTGGGAGATATCTTAATCTGGGAAGCCAAAAGGGCGATATTGTGAGGGGAAAATTGCTTCCTTAAGGTGCTTGCTCTGATCTGCAGAGTGGATTTGTGGATCCTCTGTGGACTGCTAACAGGGATAAATCCTTGCTGTTTTATGTCAGATAATCTGTCCTTGCTTTTGGGATCCTTTTAGTGCTGAAAGGAACTTCTGGGTTTGCAGTGTAAAGGGTATTCACAGTTAAGGAGGGAGTGATCTGATTTATACTCTTATGGTGACACATATCAGTAGCCTGTATAAGTAAGATGTGTGTTTAGGTTACAAAAATGTATGTATATATACACACATACAGTGTCTGTATATATATGTATACAAGCTGTAACTAAAGATTCTTGTTGCCATAGTGTCTAATTCTAAAAAAACAGCCCTCTTCCAACCCAGAGTGTTTTTTTCAGAGCTCTTTTATTAATCATTAGTTTTTGTGTTCTTTATTCTTTTTATTGATGTTGCATCTAATGGTGTCAGTCTGCCTTGAGATGTTAAGACCGACTATCAAAAGATAAATTTTCTGCAAGACTTAATTCAAAGAGATGTATTATTCCTGCAGCTCTCTTCCATGTTTCCAAATATGATCTCATGAATTTAAATAGATCAACTACAGTTGATGTCTCTTCTTGATCTATTTGAATTGCTTCTGAAGCTACTGATCAGATGCTTTTGTCTCCTTCATGCTGGTGGCACAGCTGTCTGCTCATTCAAGGCCCAGCTTCTGAGGTTCTGGGCTTATTCTGTGCCTCTAAACCAGCTCTCAAACTGCTAGCTCTTATAAGTAATCAATGCTAGCTCATTCTTGGCAAGGGTTTAATCCACACCAGGGTTTTGATGGAATGGTTCAATTACTCTTTCTCTTAAACTTGATAGTCAGATGCAAAAGGAATAAAGGAGATGGGACAGTTTCCATAACTCTTAAAGATATTGTGCCTTACTCTGCAATTAATAGTATTTATAGCTTTATGTACTCTCTCTTCTGCCTCCTTCTTGATATAGAAAAGTGAATTACTGCTTCCTAAAAATCCATAATAAAGACAAACTAACTCCTGCAAATACCTTCTTTATAGATCGTTTGAGCAGTTAATTAAGTAAAGCATGGTTTCTCTTTTCAGTGACCGAACAAAACTCAAAGCAGTTTCTAAAGAAGGTGTGAGACTAAATATATGCTGAAGGTGTATTCCACAAATATATTACAATTACTTATTTTTTAGCATTAGGTAATATTTTCTTTTCCTGTGAATGCTTCTAAGTTATGGCCTTGTTGGAACTGCTACAGAAGCAAGCTTGACATTTTGAAAATGCCCATTTATTTTTTCCCTGGAGTATCTCATCTAGCAAGTGCTCTGCATTTCCTCTTCTGCTCCTGCTATTCTCTTGTGTGTTGGCATCACATCTGAAGTGCAGATAGCTGACCTGCAAAAAAGCTGCCACTTCTTTGAGCATCTCTGACCTGCCTGAAATGGCACAAGAGCACTTCAGCCATAGAAAATTACAATAGCTGTAAGATGTTTGTGCCATGTTAATTTTGTTTGAATATGAGGGTAGCAATTGCTTACAATAATTCTGACATGCTGCACAAGCCACAGCATGGAAATAATGTTTGCATAATACATACCTAGAGCTGCTGTTCCTCCCCAAGAGGATCCTAACAAATTAAGATGGAAAAGTTATCTTTCAAGATTGCCTTTTCTTTGAAGACTCAACAACAATCACAAAATATATCAAAGCAGTTAATTTGTTCCTGCTGTACTCAAGTGCCTGCATGTGTCTTAATAGCTTCTTAATGGATGCTTAAGAAATTCTGTCTGTGTCCAACAAACAGCTCAACACTTCATGGCTGGTAATTGCCCATGAGTTTACTTAATAGGGTTAATAGGCTGCAGTGAGAGCTTGGCTTTTTGCTGTCACATTTGGGAACTCATTGTCAAGGACTTGTTACCTGGGATGTCCCAATATGTTCCTTCAAAAAAAGAATAATCTTGAGGGATGGAAGGGAGAAAAGCTCTGCATTTACTGACCTTCAGCAGCAGCAGATCACATTAAGCTGGATAATTAAGTACAGACTCGAGCTCTGTCCAAAATAATATTTGATCTATAACTTGTAAGTCTGGGCAGATTGTGAAGTTTAATAGAACTTTGTGCAGTACCAGATGCCCTGTCCTGCTGCAAACTCTAACCCATCCCAAGACTACTGATGCTAAAAGAGAAACCAGGATGAAATATGTTTTGCCTTTCTTTTTTTTAAGATTACCAGTCCAAGTACAGCATTCACAGTGATAACTGGGAGTATGTGCTCTCAGCTCTTTTGTTGCCATTGAAGGAAATGACTTTTTTTTTTGCCCTCTGGGCAAAAAGGCATAAGCAGCACAAGGAGGGTTTGGTAGAAGCAGGTTACAGTATGTGTTTTGTGGCATAGAAGCAGTAGTTCTTGACTCTCTTCATTGGGCATATTGCAGTAATTCAGGTGAAAATGTCCTGTTACATTACCCTGCACACACCTTTCCCACCCTACCAAAAAAACCCTAAACAAACAAAAAAGAGAAAATCCTCAATCCCTCTCAAAAAAACCCAAACAAACCAAAAAAACCAAACCCCAGCAAAAAAATGAAATTAACCCCCGAACAACCACCCTCTCCCACCCCCTAAAACAAACCCTAAACCAAGACAGACTAAAAAACAGGAAAAACTTTGAGAACTTTGACTAGAGTGAATCCAGCAAGATGCTCCAGGGATAAGTTTTCTTTGTCCTCAACAATTATTTTCCAATTTCAGAAGAACCTTTCTTGATGACAGTCAAGTATCACTAAAACTTGTTGCTCTGCTCATTTCCCAGGACACAAAGGCAATGTATAAATATGAGCTGACAATTCATACTTGCATGATGGTGTAATAGTAATGTGTAGTGTGGTTTCACTACAGTCCAGTGTGTCACTGTCTGGCTTGAATACAAAATTCAGATGAGCAATGTGGGATTATTGTGCTGCACAGGGCTATGTCTATAATAGCATGTGCTTCTTTGGAGAGTGCTGGAAACAGCCTCTCTTCTGGTGCTGGAGTATTAGATACTGTCTTTGTGTCTAAATGTGGTGAGCATATGAATGTGAAATGTAAGAGGAGATTTGCCAACTGCTGATATCTTTCTGATTTCTCGGCCTCCATATGTCTTTCCACTGGCTGCCTCTTACGTCACAGTTTCCATCCCCCTGCTCAGATGCTTCTATATATCATTTTTGGAAGAGGGATCTGTGTTCATCTGACAGAAGGCATGCATAATGTTAGCTACTTATTGAAATAGAAGCAGTTTCTTGGACCCTGCATATATACTGATTTTCCTGAGTTCTCCTTTGAGGATATAGGTAGGGAGGCTGGGAAAAGAGAAACCCAAAACACGTTACCTTTTCATGTCTGACTTGATCTGCAGTTCCTCAGTGCAGGGTGAACTGCAAGAGGAGCATGACTCTGCAGAAGTGTGCTTACATGGCAGAAAAAAATCATCCCAGTTTGTCTCAATGCTTCATTCTGTTTGCATACACCAATAAACAAGATCTTTTTTATTTAACAGGCTTAAAAATTTCCTAAGGAGGGATGTGTGTAATACAGGTTGTTATTGAAAAATATTCAGGTTTGCAGTTAGGTACATAATGTTTCTTGAACAGAAAAGTGGAAAGCACAGTT